ATATATATCCAGTATATATACAATATATATAAAATTCAATCCAAAGAACTATTAAGCATAATAGAATGTTAATTGCCAAAAGAACGCTGTTGTTTTAATTTCAATTTTAAGTTGATTACACTGAAGAAGATCAATGTTTGAAATGATCGAAACGTTTGTAGTGATTTTTTAATGTTTATTGAATCATGATTAAAACAAATCAGTGTTATTTTAGCAATTAATATCCTGGGCTTAATAGCTCTTTGGATTGAATTTGAATTTATTCATAGGAGCTTTTAAATTTAATTGTTAGTTTTAAATAATCCAAAATTGTTTAATAATACAAAATTGCATTAAGTATATTATATATAATATACATATTAAAATTAGTTTTGTTTCTCTATATATTTTTGCAAAGCTCAGAATTATCAGAATATCGCTGTTACATCGAAGGTTCTTCGAGGCAATCGTGATAGGATACTTTTTCTTTCGAGATAGGCCCCAAAGAAATCTTATCTTGGCGCGTATTTACAAACTGCTTTCTTCCTAGCTTTTTACATATTACCTGCCGCTATCTCGTTCCATTTGGTGTGGCAATATCGCGTAGTGGAAACGTATACACGGAACGTATAACGTTTCGAATTGCACGTGTTGTGTCCATGTCTCCTCTTACTTCTGTACGGTATTGCGCTGTCGGCAAAGTCTGTGTCCTCTCATCCATCACCAAGCTAAGGTCGCCGGTAGTCAGGAAAAGACGAGAAAGGCCTGCCGACAGGAGCTTCCTCCGATATCTCGACACGATGTTACGATTTGTCCACGAATTGTGTTCCATCATCTCAAAACAAAACTGCCTGATTGAGCGTTCCGAGAAAAATCGTTGTGACTTGTCAACCGAATAATTGTGATATTTCTCTGTGGCACATCAATCGCTAAAAATAATCTCTCGATGTATTATCACGAATACTTGGTTGCATTTCTCCATGAATGTGAATTATCAAATTTATTATTAAATATTTATTATACTAATTATTGTTGAATTTTAAAATAAAAAATTATTATTCTATATTATTCCTTAATCAGTAGTGATATGAAAGTCATGAATATTTTTTGAGACATTAAGAATACATTTAAGACATGATTTGAGACGTTAAGAAACATTAAGAATATATTTAAATATATTTTAAGAGTCACAGTTAATTACAGTGAATAATGTAAATTGATACGAACATCTTTTGCGGCGTTTATGCTCTCATTGCGATACGATTGCGCTCCGAAAAGGCGGAGAAGCTTGCTTTATCGTTCGAGCGAGAACTGCGAAGGGCGGTTATTATTAATTGCTTCCAGAGGGTTTTACAACCGGACGGTTAAAGCCACGGTCTTTTTTACGAGCATCGAACGGGCCGGTTTAGCTTCCCTTTTCCACCGCATCAGCGCAGTTCTCTCCATCCACTCTTTTCTCGCTCCGGACACTCGACCGGAAACTTCATTTACATCGTCAGCATCTATAAAATGGATTAATTGCAGCTGGTCGTGCGACGAGTGCTGGCATGCACAGTCGACGAACGTTCGACAGATGGAATTTATCCGCAGCGCATCCTCCACAAAATTGCTTTTTATATTCTTTTCTTTTTAAAATATATACCTTCAAATATTCTCTTATTATATCTAACGATTAAAATAATTCAATTTTATTATATCTAATGTTTAAAATAATTCAATTTTATTGTCTTTCAAAAAGTTTATAAAATATTGAAAATATAAGAAAAAATGAATGTAATTATCATCTAAGAAAAAAAACAAAATATTAATTCTATACACACACACACACACACACATTATGATTTTCAAAATTCAAGATTTTAAATCTGAAGAATATGAACCAGAAATTGAAAGGTTTTTAAAAGTAGATAAATTATTAGGTAAATGTAATTAGCTACGAGAGAGAAAGAGAGAGAGAGAGAGAGAGAGAGAGAGAGAGAGAGAGAGAGAGAGAGAGAGAGAGAGAGAGAGAGAGAGAGAGAGAGAGAGAGAGAGAGAGAGAAAGAGATTTTAGAAAAGAGAACACAATAATTATTTTTAGAACTTGTACTACCTTTTTTATTTTTATAATTAATTAATATATACAATTTTTAATTATAAATTTTTTACAAATAATATAAAAATATTGAGGTAACATAAAATTTTAAAGGTCTATAATATAAAATGTAAATTTAAATTATTTTTTTTTATTGTAATGATAATGAGTTAAAGATTACTTTCCAGAATAAGATTTCTTGCTAATATAAAAAAGAAGAAACACTATTATTGAACATAAGTCAACTCAGTTTTAAATGGAATTACGCAGGAAAATGGAAATATACAAAAGTTGTGGATCATTTAACGAATTAACAATTATAATCTACGATTAGAATTCTTGTCATTAGCATAAGCCCGCGTCAGTGGGGCTGAAAAGTTTTCAGCGTTTGTTCGCCAGTGCCAAAATAATCAGAAGGGAAAGAGTAATTTTATGCGATCACGCGGGGAGATTATGAGGGAAAAGTAGCCGACGAAGTAGTTGAAGAATGTTAAGTCAGAAAACCTTATTATCTTACCAAGATAAATCACGAAGGAGTTGAGATTCTTGTTTAATTGTAGTAATTACAGGCAAGCTAAAATTAAAATTAGATATAGTGAAGTTTGCTCAGTGAATCGTTTTGACATAATTCGGCATTATTTAAGAAAAATATATTTACAATCATTGATAAAATTAAATAAGAGTAAATAAAGACAAACATATGTTGAATAATGAAGCTTCTACTATCTATAAACTTTGAAATTATCTATTGTCCGAATTATATATATAGTTCAATATTATATATTTAATTAGTATATTGTATTACAAAAGAATTATAAAAGAAAAATCAGATTTCAGAGGAATAAAATAAGAAGAAGATATATAGCATTAAGACACTGCTTGCTTTATATAATAGTTTGAAACTACAGTAATTTTCTCATTATGTAATAAAAGAAATGATATATTCATTTTTTGCAAAATAATTAATAAATTAAATATAACTAATACACTAAACAGTTTTATTAAAAGAGTTTCCGCTAGAAGAATTAAAGTAGAAGAAATATATTTTTTAATTGATTTATAACTTTAAGAAATAAAAGAAAATTTTTTGTTTTATGTAGTAGATTTCCGTCTATTTCTTTATTTGTATATATAAAGCAAATATATTTTTATTTATAACAAATACTGCATAACATATTGTACAATATGTATTTGATAAGCCTTTTCTACTAGTTTCTATTTCTTCTCGGAGAACATAAATTTTAAATACTATTTCTTTAGAATCAATATCAAGAACTCTGAGAGTATCAAGTGTCAAGATATTAGTATCTTCTTCTGTTAGTATAGTACTCTAGAACCATGCACAGAAATCGATTTTCTTTGATGATAATAACAGTACAATGGTACGTTGCCGACTATAAGTACATTTAAATTAACCGTTAGGAACATCAATCGTAGGAAACATTGAAGATAATGTATCTACTGCTCGGTAGACTATTGATCCGATTAACGGAGCTCACGTTCTTTGTTCACTGACATAGATGCCCTTACTTGTACCTACTTCAGAGAGAAGATTTTTATGTAATGTACTTCTAAACATAAAACGAAAAAAGATAATGATATGGCTGCAGAATTGACTGATCCAAAAATATATTAGAATTTTAATGTGTGATAAATCGTTATACAAATGTAAAATTATACATATAATTATAATTATTATATATAAATCATAAGAGAAAGTATAAATAATATAAATATAATGCTAAATAAGTGTATAGATAAGAAATATAATTAAGGTAATTGATTTATTCGTAAAATTTTTACTTACATAAATTTCACATTAAATGTATACAACATAACACAATTACATGAGATATAAATTTTCAAAATTATCAATGCCATTTTTGAACAATTGTGTCTTCTGAAAAAATTGAACAATATCGTTTTTAAACGGTTGATTTTTATTGTAAATTAGATTTAATTTTGTTTTCATTAGCTTCTTCGCTAAGACTTTTGTCATCTACTCTTAATATTTTCTCATTTGTAGATATTTTCAAGTCATTAAATACGTTTTGTAGATTTGCGTAAACTTGATTTTCGTAACGCATATTCGACTGGATAGAATTTTGCATAGCAATTTTATTCTTGAGATTTCTCAGTCGGGGTTGTATTTTATGATATACTTTTTCGGCACTCAAACGACGATCTCTTTCCTCCAACAGAAAATTAGTATTCATTTCTAAGTCCCTTATTAAGTTCTGATTGTGTTCAATCATGAGAGATAAACGATTTTTTAATTCGTCTGCTTTATACCACTTGATATGACTTTTATTTACTGCAGTGTGCAATGTATATTTTTTATCACTTTTTTTCAACTTGCATACATGTCTGGTCTTTTGCATTTGTAAAATGCTATCTTTCTGCATTTTTATTTGAGTGTGCTAAAACAGAAAAGTATATTGTATAAATCGAGTGTATAATAGCAGTTGCATAATTTTAATCGATATTAAATTTAAATAATTTACAGTTTGAGTTTTGAGAAATCTGTTCTTTTTCGATGCATGCTGACAAGATCTGTCCTTAGGAATTATATCTTGTACAAGAAAGTGCTTGCGGTTTAGTAATGTTTTTTTTGGTATTCTTTTCCCTTTGTTTTTCCTTTTTCTTAGAAATTTACGAATAATTTGCAATATGTCAGCCGATACTTCATTATCCCTGAGATCAATCTGCGTAAGCACGCTATTTGTTTGTAAAAGTTCCAACACAATTTCTCCTCCGCGTTGAGTAATTCCGCAACATCGTAAACATAATGTTTTGAGACAAAAGTCATTTTTCAATATACGTATCAACTTCTTCAAACCAATATCACTAAATCGGTAATTTTTATCAAGTATTAGTATTTGCAATCCTTCTTTCTAAAATGTGAATGCAAATGTGTTATTATAATTAAAATTAAAAACGTGATGTCTTAATTAGAATAATTTTTTTCTCGATATATACCTTCGTTGTGTGAGCATCACGAGATAATGTTGACTCCTTCCAAACATTTTGCAATAAATCTGCTTTTCTCTTTTTGAAGAAAACTGACAGACACGTAGCGCTTCTATTAGTAAGGCAGCATGATGACAGATTCAGAACGTGAAGATTTGAATTACATTGCAAACTTTCTAACAGCATATAACATCCTATAAAAAAAGACATAAATGCAAATGTATTATTATCTTTATTTTTCTTTTACACTAGTTAGAGTTTATAAAAGTTTATAAATTTTATAAAGAAATTTATAAGAGAAAGTTGAACTTGAAATATAAAGATATGTCAGATCTATACTGTTTGAAAAATTCAAATATTTTTAAATTTTAACAAACCCATATCGCCTATTCGACATCTGGCCAATGACAAGTTTCGCAGATTACGATTATTTACCAAGCCATCAGCAAGGATCCTTAGATACTTGGATGCCAGCGGAATACCATCAAGTGTGAGGTTGGTAATCATCAACGAATTCTTCAGACAGTCTGCGATGGAATGAACGAAGCATTGTAGAAGACAATTCGTGTACAATACTGGCTGCTGTCGATCCTTTCGTGTACATCTCCTGAATGTGCGAGTAAAATTGGATTGTGCCAATCCATTTGCCATTTTACAATTTGCGAGTTTATATATCATCGTTTTATGCCATTTTCATATTTTTTAATTCTCCTTTTGATTATCCCTTTGTCGCGGCGTCACCTGCAAACTTAAACTTACTGCGAGTAGTATCCGAAAAAAAATTAATAATCATAGTATTTAATTTTAAAATATTCAAATATTTTCAAATATTTAAATATTTTCAATATGCAAATATTTTTTGTAACAATAATTATTTTGAGAAATGTAAAAATTATTGAATATAAGATATTTAATTCTCTATATTAATTATTTTTTATGTAAAAAATTTACATTACTCTTGAGTGTATAAAATTATTTTATAAAAAGTAATTTATTTGTCTTTTTGTCACAATTTTAATTGGCATTTTAAATATTTACATAAAAGATTAAAAAATCTAAGAGACTTTTTGAAAATCATATCAAGAATTTCAAATAATTTTTATAAATTTATATTAAGAATCATATAAGAATGATTTAATATTTATTATTTCTAGACAAATAAAAAATTTTTAAATATGTTTCCATTTAATTACTAAAGTCGTTTAGTATTGAAGTTAAAAGGAATCTATCACAAATTGATAAAAATAAGTAAATTTTCAATATATTTTCAATTACCATAATTTCATAAGTTTCTCTTCTGTGTCCATTTTCTCTCTACTTTTTTTATTGCGACATTGACTATATACATAAATTTCAGACAGACTTCGATCTTTCATTATACTGTTCAATAGTGGCAACCAGTCTTTCAAATTTATATAATCAGCACAAAATCGCAAGCAGTTCTTTTGCAGATACACTTGTATTGTTGGCAAAGATTTTATGTTTTTCTCGCGACATAGCATCTTCATCAAAAATACGTTTTTAATATTATATTTTTTCAAAAAAGAAATTATAATAATTAGTAAGAGGTTATTAAACAGAAGCAACACAATCTCTGTTTTACTTATCAAATCTACAAATAAATTTGTTAGAAATTAAGTATCTTAATTATTTTATTTTTTATAAATGTTAAAGTGAATTTTTTATTTAACAATATTTCCAAAATATAATTAAAATGGCTAAATCGTAAGCTAATAGTTTTATATATTTGAAAAAATTTTATAATTACAAACCTTGTACGTATACTCAAATAATCCATTATAACTTTTCTCTTCGCAATTTTGCATAATGTCACGTGTAATTTTTTCTGATTACGAATTTCATTCCCTAAGGACCTATAATTTTCACCGAAATGAAATTCGGATGACGGATTACGCGTTTTGAATGGACGAAGACATTGATATAAAAATATCGAACATTTGAATGCTACTATTAGTAAAAGGCATGACAATTGTTTCTTCATAAATTCCACCAATGGTATTGTGGAAAAATGCGACTTAATATGAGTAATGAAAACCAGAGATAAAGCTAATAATTTATTTAGACATTGCAATGTAAGATAAATGATAAACAGTGCAATGGTAAGATAAATGGTAAGATAAGTAATGAAATTATTCAAATTTGTTTATATACATATATATCATATATTTATAATAAAAAATATGTAATAAGATCAGTCGGAGAGAAGAATAATTATTTGGAAAAATGAATAATATGCATGCAGAAATATTGAGACTGAATAATATATTCAAAATAATAAAATATCAATAAAATATCAAGAGATCATAATTATTTTCTATCAAAAATTTAACAAAATTGTATTAGATAGATTTAAGAATATTAAGAAATAATAGATAAATCTATGTAGAATAAGAGTGGATCTTTATATAGACAGCGCTTTGACACAGAGCGCTGATTGATGAAAACCTGGTTGTGGGGATAAAATTTATCTCCGTTTTTCCCACCAATCAGCGTTCGATGTCAAAGCGCTGTTGCCCGTATGAGGATCCGGGCTAAAGGATAAATTTATATTAGAGAAATATATGTACAGAATGTTGAAAATTATTGTAGACAAGAAGCTAAAAACTTTTTTCTTAAAATGCTTTTTTCATAAAAATATATTTATAAGATAAAAGAACACATAGATAATTGTCACACAGAATATGTGAATAATATACATGATAAAATTGCTATTATTACAAAAAAATTTCAACCATTCCTGTGAATGCACTCGTGCATTTACTTATCTTAAGCTGCGAGCAGAAATTGAGAATTTGCATTAAATGTACAAGAAGCATCATGTTAAAAAGCAAGGATAAGAAATAAAACAGATATATAAACACATGATAAGCATTTGTGTAAAGATAACTTACGTCACGGAAATTCTAAAACGATCCTAAATAGTCACCTTATAAAAAACGACGCTGTGTTAAGCAATTAAATTTACAATGATAATTCCTCGACATCTTGTATTTGCTACTCGCAAATTCTACTTATCCCTCCCTCTATTGTCTGTAAGTATCAATAGTTTAAAATTACCGCTTATTAAAACACGCGTGGATCTTTCATATCTTCATTTATGAATATATTATTCAAATATCTATTGCATTATTTTAAGTAAAAACATGAGATAGATGCATGACAACGGACAAGAAGACTTTGAACGAATGAGATACGTTGATTTCAAAGACTTCCTCGAGAAATTGCACAATTTAGCCAGTGAGTCTGAGACTATTGTGCTGCCCACACCTGATTCTATCTTCATTAAAATCTTGCGCACACCTCGAAGCATCGTGTCGCCTGACAAAAGAGTACCCGCGATTCCTACTGTTCGCCTACTGTGAAATCGTCGTCATCGCAATCGTTACGTGACATCACGAAAGTCTTCAATGAAAAGTTTTCACCTCTGTCCCACTATCTTCGCTTCAGTCGCCGAAATAAATGCCGCTTGAATATGTCGAATACACGTCGGGAGTTAACGCGGAATCGTGTCTGAACCAAGTGTCCCGTATCTACTTCAGCGTGAAGCAAATGTTTCGAAGAGAAAAAATTTCTCTGCACTGCAATTTAACGAGACTACAAAGTTAATCTTATCGGATGTAAGGATCGCCTCTTCTAGAATAGAGACTCATTTAGATGACCTACGATTGACACATTGTGTTAAAAAACATGTGATAGACACACTTAGTAAACATACGTACATGCTTACACAAACGTACTGGCCTGTTATCATTGTTTATTTCCGAGAGCAATTAACGGCTTTATTCTTCTTTATCGAACAATTTAAGTGTATTTTTATTCACTAAATTAATTGTTAAACGTGTACATTTATTTGTTATCTTGATATTTCGAACTGACATAAGTCGCATTCGTCTTATTTTAAATTTAGCAGGAGTTATCGTATATTTTTCAATAAATATTTTCAATAAATATTTTTAAATGTAATTACATGTAAATGTTAGTGTTGTAAGGTGATAAACAAAATTTAATATTAATAATTAATGTATGTGCTTAATAGTAATAATTACTACAAATTATTGCACAGATATTTAATAATTAAATTTATGAACTTGTAAGCATATCTTATAAATTAAATTTAAAGAAAAAAATAATTTGGATTACCTTTTTATTTAAAAAAAATAGCTGCAAACTAAATGTTTAATATAATAAGCATTACTTTTATATATCTTTCTTTTTACATGAGCATAACACATTTCAAGATAGCAAAAAAATAAAAACTTTTATTTATTAAAGATTATTATCTTAAAAGTCTTATCTATCTCTTTAACTTTAAACTTTAAATATCCATATCTTGGTATAGGAACTACAGATTTGTATCACTATGAAAACAGTGCCTTCGGTAATTATGCACACAACACTATTTGCCCATTTCATGCCCACACAACGCGTAATCGGACGATTTACGTGAACGGCTATATCGTGCAGAATATCTCTAATTGCGCATGCCGAGGAGCTATGTGGCTGCCAAGTGATAGCTATTTGAGATGCGTCGCGGAACTTTTGAATTACATGTAGACACTTTCGGTGGAAGATAAGATAAAGCTGGGAAAATTGCACTGACGTATGGCCTCGCACACGCGAAATCTTCGCCTCGGTCTTGACGCGCGTTCAATGCCGATTTAATCATTAATGGTTGCAAAGTTTTTGCGAAATTTCTGTTCGTTTCGACGAGAACGTTTTGTCTGACTTTTTAATGAATAATTAATAACTATCGCGTATTGTAACAAACGTTACGAATGTTTATTAAATCTGTTTGAAAGTGAAAAATTCTAAGTGATTGAAAAAAATCTCAGTTGATGCAACATAAATTTCACCGGTACTCATTATTAATTATTCGATTATTTAATCGAATAATTTAGCGATTTAGCATATCGTTCTAAAGTGGTTTAGTCTCGGCTTTATTAGCGCAATCTTTTATGTACATTAATTAATATAAAATAGTATTCGCACAATCAATGTTTGGGTTATGCAAAATCAGTGCGCAGAGGACTGTTTCCTTCAGTCTCGAGATAAACAAATTGATATGGTGCATGAGCGTGCATTTTTATACACGCGCGTGCACGGTAAGCACACGTTTCAATTAAATAATATTGAATTCTCAGCAATCTTATTTTTTTTTTTTTAATGAAAAAGAGGAGATTTTGCTTCTACCAATCGCCTTCGATGAAAGGTAACCTAACGATATTTGTCGCGGCTGTCATTGACGATTCAGAATCTGGCCGGATGCTTTTAGAAATTTCCGACAATGTGAGAGATAACAAGAAGGCCCATCGCGAATTAAAAGCTCGTCTTAAGAATGGGATGCAATATTAGTATACTGAAGTGCATGAAAGACAAAGTCGAGCAGGAGAAGAATATATCGTCGGAAACTAGCAGTTCTATCGTTACAAGCGGTACGTTACTTTTTTTTCTTCTAACATATTTTTGTTTCAATCGTTTCCAATTTTATTAGGACATAAATTGTTCCATGTTCGTGTAAGCTTAAATTTGGAAATCAGAATTTATAAAAGATATAGACAGTTGGACAGACATTTACATTATGATTTATATAACAATGCAAAGCTATACATAATTTTTGGAAATTTATTGTGAAGATAGATACGATTCATAATTTACTTCACTTCGTGCAACTGTAAATTAAAAAAATGTTTTACTATATGATTTTCTACGAAAAAACGTAACGATAGAATGAAATATTCTATCGTTAAACATCTTGAACATTGAAATATTATATTTTAGATTAATCGATTATTTAATAATTTTGATCAATAAATAATACAGAGATATAAATATCAAGTATCGCAATCCGTATTGATTATTTTTTAATGATTGGTACTATAAAATAAAAATTTACAAACAAGGTATCCATCTCCAACTAAATTCTTTTGATGCGAAACTTAAGTGCTTCCTTTCAAAATTGCAAAATGTAATCAAGTTTGCACATATTCGGTTCTTGGAGATATATAAAATACGACTGAGGAATTTCAAACGTCGAAGCATAGTAATCTTCTCTCGAAGGTCGACTTCTGGATGATTACATTCTTTGTGTTTGTTCAGTATAACCTGTTTATGGCTGCTTAAAGCAACATTACACTCCTATAGAATTTACTTTTTAAATGACTATTTCTGTCTTTCAGTATTGCATTAATTTAATCTATATCTCAGATATATGTACTTTGACGTTTCAATTGATAGTAAAAAAAAGTTTTTAGAATTTCTAATGCAAGTGCTTT